TATTTGATTGAATTTGGATTACCCCTGATTGGATTTTCGAATGAGATTGGATACAGATCACCCATATCCAATCCAAGAAGATCTGATCTGATGTATCATATATTTATAAATATAAATATATTTGTTATTTATTTATTTATAAATATATTATTTATATTATATTTTTATAAATTTGTTATATTATTTATTTTTTATAAAAAACATGTATATATATAATGAAAATAATTAAAAAATACTTATATTTTTTGTTTTTTCTTTATTTAAATTGGTATGTTTTATTTTTTCTTTTAATAATTTATTAATTTAAAAAAAAACAAGTCATATCAAATAAAATCCGATATGATTCAAATTCAGATCAAGTCCTATCAAATCTGATTGAATCTTCAGATCAGATCAGATCCAACATGAACAATATCAGATCGAATTTGAACATACCCTTTTTTAAATCTGATCCGATCCGTTTACATCCCTAGCTCGCTCAAGATACTTATGAAGCTAAATGACATGCCTTGAGAGCAGACTATCAGAAAGACAAGAGGAGGAGGAAGATAAACAGTTTTGTATATGTTATTAGACGTGTGGAGAATGGTGCAGCTTGTATACACTCAGGATTTCCTACCCACTGTGAATTGAAGCCATACGTCTCTATTATGAATTGAGAGATGTATGACTCCAATTCACTAGGGATAAAAAGTGGGTAAGAAAAATGAGTAAGAAATCTGGGCTCGCTTGTATAAATAGGAAGAATACAAGCTCTTAGTCAGAGAAGATAAAACTAGATGAAGCTTAGAAAATATTTAAATTCTATCATAAACGTGATATAATGTAAACAGGTTTATGAATGTTTTGGCACACCGTATAGCGTACTGCATATTCAGTATTTCATGAGGGAAACGTTGGACAGTTTCAGCTCATTCACGAGGGTATGGATGTAAACTTGTTTCAGAATATAATTTTTCGTTTTTCGTTTGATCGTTTGAATCCAAATTTGAGAAAACGGTCATGCTTTACAACAATTCTCGGATCTAATGATGCCAGTGCGTAGTAAATTTGGAAGAATCCTCAACTCTATTTGTTCTCTTTTGTTTGTAGATTCTTATAAATTTTAACTCTTTTTTCTTAATTTTTTTTTTTTGGAATTGACAACAAGACGATGAAGCAATATCTCATTGAACAACGTTCCCTTCAGACATGCTGTACAACAATTTCTTCTTAAAACTTGGGTAATTCATCTTTAAAAAAAAAAAAAAAACAAAGTTAGATTTATTCATTAATTCATATTTGGGATACTAATCCAAGGGGTCAAATACACAGTAGAACCTGAACTAACGACAAGAGAAATATAGCCATTACTGTAAATAACATTGATCTAATCATCCAATCGACTATTACATTTGATACAATTATATATGGCCGAATTATAGTAAGCTATTTTTTATGACTACTAGTGGAATGGCCCGTGCAATGCACAGGATATTTGATAGTAATGGTAATGTTTGACTATGCTTTTACATCTCGGGCATAAATGAAAGTCCACATACCATTCAAGTCCTAAGACAATTATATAATACATAAAAAAGACTATTCTCACAAAATGCCAAGATATGAATTTTATAATTATAAAATGTTGGTTGCAAATGCATCAGATTGAAACATTAATGCACCAAATCAATTATAAAATTACATTCAACAACATTATATATAGATAAAGTTCATCTCAATGAAACACATAATTTATGGAGAATAAGAGATGCCACTCTTAACCGATCTCCTGTTTTGTAATAACTTAAAACCTAAGAAAATAATTACTATTAATGGTTAGAAGTAAACTAAGCTATTATGTTAATTTATTCAATTAACTATTGAATAGCAGAAGTCATTATCTAAGATTACTAATAAATAACTTACATTTAAGCCTAAAAACATTTTCTTCTTACATTTTAACTAAAAATGAAATAAAGAAATTAGTTGGAAGCAAAACTTATCAACCAACCACTAGAGTAACATGTATGCAAACACCTTTTAGGCACGTTGATCACGTCCGCACATTTGTCCAAGAATAAAACAATTGGACGATTCATAATGTGTCACAGTGTTACATACGACTGAGGAAATGAGTTGCAGGCCCTACTTAACAACCACACACATGATAACATATAGTCCCCGTGGCCAAATGCCCTTATAAGACGTGGGCCCAACTGACAAACATGTTTAGGGCCCATGGAATGAATTTTGTTTTGTATTTTTGTGTAATTTCTGTTATTTTTCATCAATTTTTATGATTTTCTAATTTTTTTGTGTATTTCTTTGTTTTTTGTAATTTATATTATTTTCCTCATTTTCTATGTTTTGTATAATTATTTTGCATTTTTTATTTTTTCTTTAATTTATGTTATTTTCTACATTTTCTATCTTTATTTGTATATTATGTATTATTTATAGTTATACTTTTCAAGAATTTATGTATTATGTGAAAATTTAATGGGTTGGGCAGGTTGGGTTGGGTTGAACCCAAAATGGGTCATGCACCCCTCATATAAAATTGGGATATGTTGGAAAAACAAAAAAACTAAAGGGTAGAATTGGTATGGAAAACCAAAAAACTACTATCATGCACCCCTCATATAAAATTGGGATATGTTGGAAAAACCAAAAAACTAAAGGGTAGAATTGGTATGAAAAATCAAGGTCTTTCGACCACACTAATTGAATCATTCTCATTTTTTATATATGGTAGTAGATATAAATTCTTATTTTTATTCTACAATTTTGGTTCATTTTTCTGTAATTTATGGTTTTTCTTTTTTTTTTGTGATTTATGCTTTGTTCTTCAATTTCTATGATTTTTTATATTTTTTTTGTAAATTTCTCTATGTTTCTTTGTTTTTATATATGGCAGTAGATATAAATTCTTATTTTTATTCTACAATTTTGGTTCATTTTTCTGTAATTTATGGTTTTTCTTTTTTTTTTTTGTAATTTATGCTTTGTTCTTCAATTTCTATGATTTTTTAAATTTTTTTTGTAAATTTCTCTATGTTTCTTTGTTTTTATGTAATTTATATTATTTTCTTCATTTTTTTGTGTTTTTTCACAATTATTTTGCAATGACAATATATGCAATGAGAAAAAAATAGAAAGTTGAGGGTAAAGTTGGAAGGTAAAATCAGGGTTTTTTGACCAAACCAATTACAACATTCTCATTTTTCGGTATGGTATAGATTTGTAATTTATGTTATTTTTCTTCAATTTTTATGATTTTCTTTATTTTTTGTAAATTTTCTATGTATTTCCTTGTCTTTTGTAATTTATATTATTTTTCATTTTATGTGATTTTTATAATTATTTTGCAATGACATATATATAATGGGAAAAAAAAGAAAGTTGAGGGTAAAGTTGAAAAGTAAAATCAGGGTGTTTTGACCAAACCAATTGCAACATTCTCATTTTTTTAGTACGGTACAGAAATTTCTATGAATTTTTATATTTTTTTAGTAAATTTTCCATGCATTTCTTTGTTTTTTTGTAATTTATATTATTTTCTTCATTTTTTGTTCTTCATAGTTATTTTGCATTGGCAATATATACAATGGGAAAAAATAGAAAGGTGAGGGTAAAGTTCAAAAATAAAATCAAGATTTTTAAAACCGAACCAAACAATGAACCAATCAAGGGTCTAGTTCTTGGATCGAACGATCCAACCGTTCAAACCGAACGAACGACCCATTCTAACAAAAAAAGAAAAATTTAAAAACAAAAACAAAAACCGACCAAACCATTGAACAGTTTGAACCGGTCAATTGGTTTGCAATTGACCAAACTAATTGCAACATTCTCATTTTTTAGTACTAAATTAATATTAATATTAATTCAATAAGAGGTGTCTTTTGTATTCTTTTCAAGTTTTAGTGTTTAGATGATTTCACATGCACTATGTTAATCCTATGTGAGGTTCATGAATTTTTACTTTTTATTCTAAATATCTGAGTGAATTTATAAAATAATTGACATATATATGATTGCAACAAAAACATAAATAACGACAGATTATTGGTTATGGGATCTCCAATTACCATTTAGCAGTCCTTATATTTCATGTGTAATTGATGAGAATTTATGAATGATTGCAATGAGTTAGTTGAAAATAGCATGTAGCAACAAGGTCAGCACCGGAGAGTGCATGTGGCCATTAATGATAAGATCAAATACTTGAATGATCAAAAAAGAAAACTGGAAAACAAAAATTATTGAGGGTAAAGATGAAAAGTAAAATCAAGATACAACCATGTTACCAGTTTGCATTTTCATTTTTTATCATTGGAAAAAGTTTGATGGGCAGCGTATGGCCTCATGAATCATGATAGTTAAATAAATTACTTGAAAAACAAAAAGTATAAAGGGTAAAAAGGGAAAATAAAATCAGGCCTTTTTACTAAAAATTAGCATACGGCCTCGGGAATCATGATAGTTAAATATATTACTAAAAAAACAAATATCATAAAGGGTAAAAAGGAAAAGTAAAATCAGGCTTTTTGACTAAAAATTGTTACCATCCTCATTTTTATAAATGGTATATAATAGATAGAAATTATAATAAGCAATTTTTGGCTTTCAATATTATCCCATCTAGATATCCCAATAATATAAACATTTCAAGGGTGCTAAATTCAGGTTTTACAAAAGTTTATCTGTTCAGCCTCAACCAAGAGGGCCACGATTTTATTTCTAGGAGCTGGAAAGAAATAATAAGATACATATTAGAAATCGACAAGAAATTGCAATGAGCCCAGCCAAAAACACAAAATCGTCAGTAACTAAGATTCTTAAATAAGGGAAAATCTATGATGCAGAAAAGATATGATAATGGAAAGAGTTTTGACCTTTATTTAAATAATCTAACCTTTATTTAATAACCCCCACCTAGGAGACATGAAAAATGCCACTGGCATGCAAAAATAAAAGCGTGCGTCAAGCAGGGAACAAAGAACAATAATAGGTGATGAGGTAACATTCTCACAAAGGGCGGGAAAAAATTGATAATTGCACTAGAAACCAGATAGATAAGAGTTTTACATTAAAAAGAATATAGAAAAAATAAAGTATAGTAGTCTACAAGGAGGTGACATGTACAAAGCAAGACAGCCAAACCGCAGAATAGTGGTCAGCAAGCAAATTAGTTGTGTGCCTGATCCGTCACATTACAGAACAGTCAGACTGCATCTGCTCCAGAAAATTCACCCTGAGATAAACCCAAGTAGTTGAATGTCAACACAGAACTGAAGCTTCTTCCACAGGCAACACATAAAAGTGGAACACAGAAGAGGAGAAATTGGTCTTATCCAGAACCATCATTCATTATTGCAACTCATCAATTCATCCTAATGTTTATTTCTAAAGATCCACCACCTTTTCTTCTTCTTAGTCTCGAATACAGGCACATCTGTAACCAAATCACAAGAAAAAAAAGGTGAAATATTACGACTACGAATCAAAGTAAAATGATGTCTCTAATTTGACAAGTAGTTCTTGCACTCTACAGGTTCAGTGAGAACCAAACAGCAGTGGATTCCGCCAATATTTTAAAACCTAACCAAACTGAAAGAAAACGGGCAAGTGAACCAGGTTCTTTAGGTTTGACCTGTTTAACTAATATTTATGTCAATTATGGTATATATACTTGCCCTGTTTCTGGTTTTTTATAGCATGTTATGGTGCGACTGATTGCATACAACACAGCATCACTTAAATAGTCAAACGAATACTAGTCACTTGGAATGTGTTGCACATACAATCAGAGAGAGTGAGCGAGAGAGTTGGTTAGACACAACTTAGATCATCATTTACATTTTCTCCAGAAACCATAACCCTCAAGAGTTCAAAATCTATCTTTGTTATCAGAAAAGCTGTATATTTTTCATTTACACAAGGAAAAGAAGAAAATAATATTATCTTTTTTTGTATTTTTCCTCGTATCAATGAAACAGGTCTGAATGTCCAGCCCCAGTTTAACCAAGTCAGACCGTCTCCTGTCTGGTCTGGGTTCTAGCTCTGGATCATTTATCATAACATATCTAAACCAAGGCACAGAACTGACAAGGGAACCAGGCCAATTTAAACTTAGTTCAATTTTTGTGTTTTCCAGATATGACACAAGCCGTCTTAGTTTGAGAGGATGATCTTTTTCCATTTCATGAATCAAGTGTGTCAACCTATTTCAAATCCAGATATTGGCTGCCTATTTATATTGATACGTGAGATGTATAGATGGATGGACAAGTTGGGTCTTTTGGGTTAAAGAATCTAAAAGACCCAACAATACTTCTATGTAGTCCAAATGGGACTCAATGTTCCTATAGCCTCCCTATACGCACAGTAAATTTCAGATTGAAATCCCTTGCCATATGGCCAAGATAAGCCCTTGATTGTAGTTCTGTTTTCAATTATATGGGGAAACTTGTCATAAAACCAAAAGACTATCAAGAGAGGTAGAGGCAACTTTTTTTTTTGAGGTACTACTTTCGAGTTTCGAGTGTGTTAACAGGACAGTAAATGCAATGCCTGATCCCTTAGCAAAACAAGGGGTCGCAAGGGAGAAACTATTTTGGGCCAATTTGTACTCATAAGTCTTATGTGGGTTGTCTCGGTTCATGAGCCTTGTACTATTTAATTTTCTAAGTTAATGCAAGTTACTAGTAACCAATCAATAAAAAATTGGTCATAAAACCAAGGAGTGTGCATATAAAGTCATGAGACCTAAATGCCCCTGAAAAGTTATAGCTTATCAGTCCAAAGAACAAAATCTGGGTGGATAGGTCAGTTGACAGAAAATAACCCACTTCTCTCCCATCTCTACCTCCTACAATCTGACTGACCAATCTGAGTGGAGAACTACTGGAGAACCCGAAGCAGATCCATCATTTGGTCCACTACCTGGTCGTTTAAGTGCCTTCTCAAGGTCAGGTTCCAAGAAATCACACTTTAACGAAAGCCTCCCTATTTTATGCCACCAAGAAAAAGGTCGGGTATGCAACCATTAGGGCTTGCTGTCCACACCACCTATCCACCCAGAATTTGGTTCTATTTCCCTAACCCACCTTGTAATAAATTCCTTGAGAAAGGTGGGAATACACCTTTTCAATACCTTTCCAAACTAATGTTCCAAACAATCGAAAGCTTCCCAGTCCATCAAATACAAAATTTACACTAAAAATTGAGTATCAGAGACGACAGAGAACTCATGTATAGGTATCTGGATATCATAGTTCCTAGTTTAAAAACTATTAATACAACCATCAACTGCACCAGCAAAATAGTTCTTTCCTTGTATACTTCTTTAGCCAAAAAATATATGTAAACTCATATAGAATATGAAGAGTGCATGGACTTTTACCTCCTTCTGGATATATGGAGTTGTAGTGCACCTCTGCCCAAAAGCTCAAGAAAATAACTGCAACAAATGCACATTATCAATAAAGTCTGTCCTAGCATCTTCTGAATAAGAGTCAGCATAGCTGTAGAGTATAGAAAACAACATAAAAAAAATGTAGCCTCCAATATGACCACGATTTGACAGAATAATTTTTTTGGTAAAAATTTCATAGAATAATAGGTATTAGGGCTATTAAAGCCCAAATTAATGGACTCTTTAAAATCAAAGATGGATCACACATCAACATTATGTGCGGAAACATATCCTGATAGAACACTAGAAGGGGCCATTCAGCCAGCCAAATCTGTAATATGCAAATAGAATAGCTCAATTTTTCTAACTAAAATGTAAGCATATATAAATAATTTTCTAGTAGTCAATATATATATATATATATATATATATATATCAGTATAAGAATATTTTAGGGTAGATTAAAGACTGCCACACTCTACTTTGGGGGTAGTGATACATAGCCCCCCGAACTTTCATTTGGACAGACACACCATGAAAATTCAGATTCCGGTACTTTGTCCCTGCTGTTAGCATTCCATCAGTTAACTTCAAAAATGATTCTCATGTGACTGTCATGTGCATATTATTTCTAAATCCCCAAATTGCTCTTTTATCATTTTATGAGGTCATTTTGCAAAAAAAAAAAGATAAAATGCCAAAATAAATGAAGATTATAGTAAATCCGATTGAAGATTACAGCAGAAGAGGAGAGAGAAGAGAAGGAAGAAAGGAGAAGGATTAGAGGCAATGGAAAAGTGCTGGCAGCACCAGCTTCATTCTAATATATAGGGCAAAAAAAAATAAGAAGGGAAATGACCCTTGTGCCCTACTAAGTAAAGTTACAATAACAGATTAAAATAAAAAGGCTTTAATCACCCAAACAGACCCTAACAAAATAAAATCAATTATTTCAACAAAAAGCAAGGAAACTGAGAAAATATAACAAAAATACAGAAAATTGTAAAAAAATAAACAGAGGAAATACAGAAAAAACAAACAGAAGAATACCAAAAATAACTAAAAAACAAAAAAAAAAACTGAACTGAAAAATACCGAAAATGTCAAACAAGGACCAAAATAGAGTTCATTGATTAGACGAATTCAGAGGAAAATTGTAGGTAAGCACAAATAATTCTAAGGTTATAGACATTTTCTTCTCTCAGCCCATCAAACTTCAAATGAGCATTTTAGTAACTTTACCTTTACCACCAATCTTGTTAACCAGGTGGGAAGGGGGGGGGGGGACTGTACTGATTTATGTTTATGCTAATTTGCCCTTATTTAAAGTAAAACAATAAAAATACCATCAACAACATCTAAGCCTTGTCCCAACTATATTGGGTCTGCTATATGAATCTTGTTTTACCATACCATTCTGTTTGGTGCCATATCCATTGTTAAAACAACAAAACTAAAGAGCCAGCCTAGTGCCAATATGTGCTGTGCAGCATCAACCACCAAACAAAATGATCTTCCTGATATATAAGTTGTGAACCTGTATCTTCCTTTAATACTGTGGTTTTATGATCACCAAAGTTTGGATTAAAATGGTTCCTTGAAGCTCAATAAAGATAAATAGATCAAACTGTTGAAAGTTCATCTTTTCATCCTAATTTTAGCCAAGCAATCTCTTAGTGGGATTGATCCAACAATAATACCAATGGAAAAAATAAAACCATCCTTAAAGCAACACTATTAACAATAACTTGCAACTGAAACCTGAGCATGACCATTTCAAGATATGTTACAATCAATCACACCTTAAAAAAATTTAAAAAAGGTCAGCAACCAATAACACAATCTTTAAAAATGACACTTGGCAAACAATCAAATTTCAACCTATTTTCCCATGGAGAAGATCAAGGTGTACCTCTTTTTGACTTCACAATGGTTGGAAGTATCTCAATATAACATGTGTCCCTGAAGGATGTTATGACAAATATTTTAACGCCATACTGCACTAAAGCAATAGCATCAGTTACAATGCAATACAAGCTCTAAACAAGATTACTAGTTGAGCTCATGTAACATTTAACTAAACTCACAATAAAAGAAATAAACAAAACGTTGCAATTTTTAATAGGTATACTAAAAATGCATGAAATAGTGTTACTTGGTAAGAACACTAGTAAAGAGTCTTTTCAGAAAATTCAAACATTGTTGGAGGATAGGTTGAAGCTTATCTTACAATTCAATATATGTTCATAGTTTGAGGTTCCAAATGTAACATGAGTTTTTTCAGTGAGTTTCTATAGACAGTCATAGTGTAATGACATTAAAGGGGCTTAGGTTACTCCCCATGATTATATCAGCTAGCATGGTTAGATCATGGTTTAAAGACACTAAGGGAGTTTGCAATTGAGTGTCCAAATTTTATTAGGATAATTTCTGCATTTTGTAACTGACTTAGCATTAATCCATTAGGAGTTCTTATGATGTTGATGTCTAAGATTACTTGGTTTTGGATATTAAAGTGAAGGAGCTGGTCTGGGTCCAGGTGGTTTTGAATTGCACCCGTGAGTGCATAGAGGTTGTTCAAGACACTTTAGTAAGTTTGCTCTCACTGTCTAGCGCTGTTAACAAATTATTGTTATCAATAAACTGACATGGCTTTTGGTAAATCAGAAATCTGATCTCTGAGAAGAAAAAAATATCCAAAGCAGTTACTGAACTGTTAAAAACAACTTTTCTTGAGTTTTGAATCTAGTGAAGTTTGGTATTCTGAGTGCTGGAACCTCAGAATAACATCTATTTTACAATTTTACCCCTTGAATATATAACATAATCATATTACACTTCTAGAATAACTGGCAAAGTTGTCAAAGGATAATATTATCCACATAACCTCCGAGTAGTGATGAAAGTGCTTAGAGGGGAGAAAACCCTGAAAATTTAGGAGGCTTTTTCAAAATTCAGGGGTGTATTCAGATGTTTAAACCAAATGTCCACTAACCTCTGAAAAGCAAAACTTTCAGAGTTCAGAGAACCGCGTTATGTCAAAAAAGGCAAGGATTGAAGAACTGCCAACAAGTCCCTCTATTAAAATGCCCCTAAACTACTTTTCAATTTTTTTTTATCAGCGACAAGAAAGATAATTTCATTCATTAATTAAAATAAGTACAATAAGAGGTTGTGATTACAATCAAAGAGAAAGATGTTTATAGCCTCTGCAATTCCACCTGATCCCAGATATTTTTGCATCATAACCCAAAATAATGGTTGCCTATTGAACCCCCTCTTTGGCCAGACCATCAGCCAAATTATTGGATAATCTTGTACCCATTGAATTTCAACTTGCATATCCCTTGAAGACATTTAAAACATCCCTCCCCCCCCCCTGGCCGCCCATAGCTCCATACAGCCCTTGTATCCTCCCTTAGCCAGCTGATAACTACCTTAGAGTCACCTTCAATAACCAACCTTTCAGCTCTCAATTCCTTAGAGCCTTCTGCACCCCAAAGGTTGATGCAATGATATCTGCCCTTATTGAATTTCCCTTTCCTATTCAGTGATTTAAAAGGTGCACCTAAGCGCACAGGCAAGGTGCATTTTAGGGTATGTGCCTTGCCTAGGTCCTAAGCGCAGCCTTTTCAAAAGGAACACCAGCATCTCAGCCCAAGCGTGTGTCTTTTAAAAATTTTGCACTTTTTGGCTTTTTTTTTAACCTAACAGCTGGACCGGGGTCTCCACTCTGATTCGCTCGCTTTGCTCACTTACCGAAGCTCCGAGAACCCCCTATTTGCTAATGTTGTTCATTCATTCATCCTAATAAAATATCTTCTTGAAAGGCAATTAAAGTTATAAAATCATTATTTTTTATGTGAGAATTAAGAATTTACAACCCTAACATGGACTTGTTTGGGCTTGCCTCGAGGGGCGTGGTACAAAAGCGACTCGTAGAATCAAGAATGCAATATGTTTTACATCACATTAGCTACTTGAAGTAATGCAATTGAGGAAAAAAAGAGATTGCGGGTTTTAGTGTTTTACATGCTTGAAAATGCTTTATATGTTTTGATTTTATTTTTAAATTTTAATTTGAATACGCTTTACATGTTATGTTTATGTATTTTATATTTAGATAATACGCTTTCTAAAACATTTATTTTAAGATTTAAATTTATATTTTTCATTAATATTATGTTTAATATTTTTTTTTCATTTTTTGGCATTTTTTTAAATTTTTTGACTCTTTATTTTTAGTGTTTTTTCATAGTTTTGCATCTTGCTTCAAAAATACGTGTGCGCCTCTCGCCTTGCGCCACAAGCACAAATTGGCCCTTGCACTTTTTTTTGCGCCTTGTGCTTTCAAGATACTAGTCCTGATTGATCCACATACATAGCAAGGATGTACCCACTCATCCCTTATTACTCCCCCAAGTCCATATGGCCCAGGATTACCCATACTATTTCAGTCAAAGTTCAGCTTCTACCACCCTCTCTACCTGGGGTGTGCCCACTCCCTTTTAACTTTTAGCATTTTAGAAGAAGATACCAAAACTACCCCCCAATTTCTAAGTAAATCATCCAGTGTAAAATCTGACCACAATCCCATTGTCCTCATCCAATATGATACTCTTAAGAGTAATGGTTATAATTATTGCCTCCCTACTTCTTTGTCCTAAAATATTCTTGCGTTCCTCAATTCCCACAATGTCCAAACCACTGCAGCTCTTATGTGTTTTCAGACAATTCTACCTCTTTTCAATTCTTTACCTATTTTCAGTAACATTTTTGTTTATTTTCTGACTAGTAATAGTACCCAAAAGTTCAGTAAATTTCAAGTCTCCACAATTTATCATCATCTAATAAATGGATATTAAAGTTTCAGAAGAAATGGCTGCAATATTTAGTTCTGTTTGCAAGACACATTGGGAAATGGTTAAATCTTGAGGCATTACTCGTTATAAGGGTAAAATCTCAGACCGGTGAGGATGAGAAGAGGGGTCCAAGTCTGGGGGCAGCTACTTTGTGCAATAAAACACCAAAGGTTAGGACCATACCCAGATCCCAAATAGCGGGAACCAACATTGCATGATGGTCCTTTTTCTGCAAGACACATAAGGCAGTGTAAAATGTTCACGGGCCAAGCCCAAAGCCCGACCTATGAACGGGTCTAGTTGCTACCTAAATAAAAAAGAAGCTCATCATTCACCAGCAAAAAAGGAGATAAAAGCACTTAAAGCCCTGGGCTGGAAGGCAGTAGAATGTTCAAGCCCCATCGGTTGCTTTTTCATTTTCTTTTTTTGAGAAAGATAAAGTATATTCCATATAATCAAAAAACGTATAGCCCTTGCAAAAAAGGCTGTGTATTACGGTGTTTACAAGCATCTAAAATGTCCTATGTATACTGTTCTCTGAACATGTCTTCAAAAACCAAAACAGAACCATCATCATCATCATCATCCAAGCCTTATCACAACTATATGGGATTGGCCACATATAATGTCCCAAAAGAAATTGTATCAATGCCCAGGAAATAATTGTACATTCTGTCTTTGCCACTAATTCCTCTTCATTATATTCCTTGTTCTTGAATATGAGTGAGTTTTGTTCTCTCCAAACATAACATAGAATTGCTTCGGAATGCAACTGCAGACTACCTTCCCTTTCTTGGACAATCCCTTTAAATTCCAGCACTGCAACACGGATTTCAGTTAGATAGGGAGCAATCATTCACCCTAAAGAAACAGGTGATACAATGATTCCCCTGTAATCCCACACATCACACACTGCTCATTGTCTATCCGTAAGGCTATCCCTGGTTAGGCACTTTTCTAGAATCAATGTTTCAAAAGGCATGGGAGACGTGTATCAGGCGTGGATCCCTCAAAACACCCCGAGGCATTTGCTGGACAGCTGGAGGAGCTGATACTTCTGAGGCGTAAAGCCTCATACAAAAAGAAAGAAATAAAAGAAAAAAAGAAGAAAACAAGAACTCCTCCCCCTTCCTCTACTTATTCCTTCTCTTGTGGAGGCTTACGCCTCTTGCATTTTGATCTACACCTCCAGATAACAGAATGTCTCGTATCAGGCTTCGGCATTTTAAAATGTTGCCTAGAATACTAGTTCATACTAGGAAAGAAATCTTTGAAGTAGGGGTGATCACTCTTGGCCCAGCCTGGCCTAACCTGAAAATTTCCAGGCCCAAGCCTAGGTTATTGTGTGCAGGCCCAGCCCAACCAGGCCCATACCAAGCCCGCAATATAATATAATATATTATTAAACATGTAATATATAATATGCATAATATTTTTATATTACTTAATATTATATATATTATATCTACATTATATATATTCTATATGTTATATATATACATATATATTATTTTGTATTCAATATTTTATATAATATACAAAATTTTAACATATATTCATGAGTTGACACGTGCCAACACATGAGTCAAGTCATCAACTCAAGTATGAGAGTTGTCCTCCTAGGCAAGGCCTTCATTCCCTTTCCTAAGCAATATGGGACTTGGGACAACAATCAATAGTACGGGAAAGAAGGCCTTGCCATAAGTGCAAAGCCCAGCCCATGATCACCCCTACTCTGGGAAGTCAATAGTTGTTTGATCTGCATGGTTTATCATTTCTGTCCAATATCTATTTCCATTCAAGTTTCTTCTTAGCCCCGGGTTCCACATCACTTTCTATAGCATAATTCAAAGCAATCAGCAATCATGGCATTCCTGTTTCTGACTAACAGAGTAACAGGTACCAAGCAGGGAACTCTTCCATCAATGGGGAGTTGCAGCCATAAGGGCCATTTGCTTATCCAGGGTCCCAATCCACATTTCTCAGTCCATACTTGTTCACAATCACCTTCCTCCAGAAGCAGTCAGGTTGGGTATTGAATTTCCAATACCACTTACCAAGGAAGGCTATATTTACAGCTTTTAACCTTTTAATCCCCAGGCCACCCCTTTTTTTGGTAAACATACTCTACTCCA